AACATTGCTGTAAATGTTCCTGTGGTTACAACATTTATTTTTCAAGTGTTTAGAAATAAAAAATGTAGTGCTGCTGTATTTCAAAAGTATTGAAGGTATTCTGCAGTAGACTAGGGGCATTGTAATGCTTATTGTAGATGCTGTATTATTTGTTTTTGTTGATCTGGAAAAAAGTAAGTTTTCTTTGTCTTAGCCTTGTTTTTGTGCTCTTGGCCTGTTATGATGTTGTACATTACAGAGATAAAAGCTGTTTCGTCGATTCAGATTATAATGGTGGAAAGTAGAAGTGTGACAACGTATCTTAATTCTACCTTGACATCCACAGTGTATTCTTAATGTTGAAATGTGTTTGCTGGATTTTACATTGGTCATAGCTGTCTTTGTCTGGGTATGAATCTAGTTTCAGTCTGGCAGTGCTTCTCATGCGACATTGTTAATTTCCCAAGTGCAGCTTGAAATCAATCTTCAGATCACTGGCTCTTTTGCTTTACCCATTGTTGTTTCACACAATGAACGCTGAGACAACAATCACAATTGATCCAACTGCTTCTTGGCAGGGTGTGTGTGTATGTGTCGGTTGATTTAAAATGTGCTGGGAACTGTAGGAACTGTGAAAGGGAGGGTGCGAGGGTCACTGTATTTTTTGTTGACGGAAATACTTGATATCTACATTTCTGCACATTTTAGTAAATTCAAAATCTTTTCCTAATATGTGGTACTTTAGTTAAAGGCAACAGGGTACACATAACTACTTTTTATTATTTGTTTTGTTCCGGTAATACATCGAATCCTTTGTGAGCTGCTCCAGTCTTTTGATTTTAAGTGAATAATTTGCTCAGATTCTTTGTTTTACTTTTTGAAAAGTGCTTTCTTAGCTAATCACTGCAACTGCAGGTAGTTCTGCCACTTACTCTGTTTTCGTAACAAGGCTTGCTGATAATTCATTGCCACTGCTGTGCTTTTCAAGCTTTATGAGTAACTTAAGTAGAGGTGAACTGAGTAAAGACCTTTGTTAGACATACATGCATACATACCTTTTTAATAAATGACTTAGCTGTACTAAAATGTGGCTCTATTGATCTGTCATATCTCTATGCCAGAATGTAGCTGGCTTAATGTTTTTTGGAGGCGAGTAAGTGATACGTTTAAAGTATTGGCTCGAATCCCATTATTTTGATAAGGGACTGTACATGGGACATGCATTAAACAATTGTCCCTCCCGTAACTTTTCATTCAGCCTTAGTCAAAAGGAAAATGCATTAAATGGTATTTCTTGTTTGTACATTTTGTGGTTTCATTCAAGCTTGGATAAAGTTAGCAAAGGTTGAAACTGTGTCACAATTACATTTTTATTTTAAGTCTAAAACTGATTCATTGTCTCAGTTTATGACATAATGTAACATGATGTGCTACATGTCGAGACGAAAGTCAATATTAAAATAAGAATAATCATATCAGATAAAAACAGTGGAGGGCAGATTCTAAATCTGGCTCCAGTCCAGCAGGTGGTGACAGTGAGGCTAACATCTGTGGTTCCACTAGAGATGGCGAAGTCACGCCCATCTACTTCCGCCCCATGGGACCTTATTTCTGAAAAATGATATATTGAAGTCAATGGGGAGAGAGATTATCTTTCGATCCTGTTTGAATTGTGCCATGAATTACACATATGATGTTTGTCAATCTGAAAAAATAATTTCCATGTCAAAAAAGTCACAGTTTGTCTTAAAACTTTTGAAATATAAGACTATGAAAAATACGCAACTAGAAAGACTACAAATCCCAGAGTTGCGCACATTAACGTTACACATTACACTCGTGTTACTCACCGAAACCTTGTAAAGCCGGTCCCGCATGCTGGCTCTTACGGAACCGACTAACTCCCCTTTTCCGTATGTGCAGCTCTTAACATGCCCAGACTTGTAGTGATGTTCACCTCTTTTAATACGTTTCACTTCATTCTGAAAGAAAGAGGTGAAATGTGCCAACGTGACGGCCATCTTGGTGTTGGTGACGTATGCAAGACCAGAGTGTGTTACTTCACAGTTTTACGACACATTTTTTTGCAAAATTATCTTTTAAATTGACAAACATCATATGTGTAATTCGTTGCACAATTCAAACTGGATCAAAAGATAATCTTTCTCTCTCCATTGACTTCAATACATGATTTTTCCGAAATAAGGTCCCATGGAGGTCCCCCGGAAGGGGAGGGACTTCACCACTCTATTCGTGTGACAGAAAAAAATTGAAAATAAAAAAACGTTATTGTCCAGCCGCGTCCGAAAAATCAATAAGCAACCTTACTAAGCTATTATCGATAATCGAGCGGCGAGCTACTGAAAAGCTACCCGACGTGTTGGAGAGCCCTGCTATACAGAGATGAGAAACCAAAGTGATTTTAGAACATTGAACAGCGTAAATCTATTCTAGTAGACCTCAACAATGGAATTATGATCAGTAGAAATGGCCAAGACATGGAACCTTTAAATAATTGTATTTTAATCAAAATAAGTCTTACTGTGGTCGTCAGCAATAGCGTTTTAGTTCAACTGTGGATGATTATATTTCCAATAAGTTCTTGCTTGGTTTAATTCTAAAATCTTACTCTTGATCCAGACTGGTCTTACATTTTCAACATTTCCATAGACTTTGCCTTCACATTCTACGTATTTGTGTCATGCATTTGAAATGTGAAAAATGCTGTTTTGTTGTTGCTGCCAAAACTCTAAACACCTTAACTTCAGTCATGGTGTTAACATGACAGTTTGAGTAACTGGATTTGTAAACTAAACATCTTATCTTAACTGACAGTTTACTTGGATATACGCAGCCTGACTGAAATGCCTTGGCTTGCATGAGTATGTCTAAAAGATGAAGAAACTTGGGGAAATGACGGGTGTTGAGGGAGGATAGTAATGGTATAAAACAACTGCTATAATTTATTCATATCCCTAAAACCCATACCCCATCTGCGTCCCCATGGGTTCATCTCCAAGTGTGTCAGAACAAACTGAGCTTTATTTTGCATTCACTCATTACATTTACTGAACAAAAAGTGTACAGCTTACGCAGACACAAGATTTCCTTTAGTTTGTTATAGAAATAATTCAGTTAACAGAAAAGGCAGAAAAAACCCACACAGTCAAAACACAGACAATTTCCCCCGGGCTAAATAATCCACATTATGTAGAATGGGGAATTTGTGCCACCTCTGTTTCCTTGTGACATCTGCAAAAATGCCCTGAAATGTAAAGCATAACAGATTGGACAGGTTGTTTTTGTTTAACCAGCTTGAAGGCTAACTTCCGTCGTGTTGTGTCTTAAAAAGATGTAACACTTATGCCCCCTGGGACACTTTATCATTCAGAATTTAATGGGAAAACGAAACCTGTAAAAATAACAATCTATTGGATACAAAGTGATTTCATTACAATTGTTTAATTATCTTTAACACCACCATCACCCTCTCTCTCCATCACTGCCACCTCCATTTATACAATTTTGATTAAAAATGGAAAGACCAGGAATTTGCCATATCCCTTTTAAATCCACATAAATCCTAGTAATTATCTCCAAGCTTTCAACAGTGGCTTGTATCTCTCCCTGTAGCTGTTTTGTTGTAATTGTACAAAGATAAAAGCAACCAACAGTGTTGTTATAAGGACCTTTTCTAATCCTTTACGCTTGCGTCCAGGTAGGGCTGAACGATATACTGTGTCATGGCGATAACCGCGATATGCGCATGCGCGATATTCACATCGCAGGGACGTGCGATTTAAAAAAAAAAGGGCGTTCGATATTAAGTAGGTAAATTAACTCAAACACTTCATGTTACAATTATTTTGCTGCTTGCTACAAAAGGAAAACTTGCGCGGCTCTCATGTCAAAGGGTACTTGAGTGGAGTGACATGCAGGCTCTGAGTCTGCATGCACAGCAAACAACTATTTCAGATGCCTTTGCCGGTGTTACACCATATGAGAAAGGTTCAAAACGGCATAAAGGAGCTGGTGTATAGCTTTTCTTAATTTTATTTTTATAATGTTGTTTAAAAGATGTCGAATACTTTGCTGCTATTTGCACAAAAAAGGTTTTAATTGTGGAATAAAAAGTTAAATTACCTATTTGGTCACATATGTTAATTCCCTAATGCGATAATGAAGCTTCCTATAGTTTAATGTAATACGTTTAATCTCTTGGATCCCTTCTAGACACCACTCTTCTTCATTTACAGATGAACCCCCTTATTTGAGGTTAAGCAACATGCATTATCATGACATGTTAGATCATGACTTAAGGTATGATGAGTCAACCAGTTAAGATCCAGACGTCCGTGACTAAAATCCTTCATCCGGTTAAATATAGTTAAAAAAAACGCAATATATATCGCAGGGGAAAAGAATATCGCAATGTCAGTTTTTTTCAATATCGTGCAGCCCTACGTCCAGGGGTGTATAACCGCATCTTCTCAAGACAATAACATTTATCCAATGAAGTAATCTTGCTTTAAATCATAGTTTTTACTTTGAAATATCTTGAACAAAACATTTATTACGGGTGGGACTATGAGAAAGATCCATACACTGTAGCCTACCATCCATGCACAGTACCCCAAACATATCAAGGATTTCAATTGCACCCCCAAACTCCTTTATCCTAGCTTCCGACCCCCCCCAATTATTGTTTTAAACTTTTACCTTAGAAATGTCTATTTCTTTGCACTATAGTCGCAATATTTTTGATTTAAAATTTGCAATGACTTATCCTAGACGTTTCTGTTTAATTGATGTTTAATGAATTAAAGCTAATTCACTTTCCCAGCTGTATTTTTAACATGTGGACACTTTTGTCTCTCAATAAGGACCGGCTGTGCTCTGATGTGTGTCTTTCTTTTTCTCTACAATGCTTTTGATCCTGGTCTTCTCTAGAACATGACTGACAAGTTGTCTGCATTGATTTGTATTTATTAAGCTTGACTGTGCCCTCACTCTTCCCACAGTAGTGACGTGTCCTACACCCCCAACCGTAGCCAACAGCCTCCTGGAGGGCTCAGTGCTGGAGTGGGGTACCAGCGTGAGCTACAGCTGTCTGCCAGGCTACGAGCTGTCCTTCCCCGCTGTGCTCACCTGCACAGGGAACGGGAGCTGGAGCGGGGACCTGCCTCAGTGCCTGCGTGAGTCACCACTTTGTACTTTCATGATAATTATAATGATGATTAGAGAGGTCTCTAGAGGAGGTCTCCTTATGTTGAGACTACCATGGCCTTGCTGGCATTTCTGTGGGAGTCTGACACATGGTTATTTGCACAGTGGGCAAAATTTGATCTTTTTGCTTTCTGCCACCTTTTTCAAAGTGATCAAGCATGTGAAATGTTTGACCAATAATTAAAATCTGGCATCTTATTGCTTTCTCTCTTTAACTATCTGTTGAATAGGAATTAAAAAAAATAACAATGTGTACCCTATTCCTTATGAACCATGTTTTTTTATGAAATTACCAAGGTTACCACTGTGAAGGGAATTTGTGGAAAACATGGAACTCTTAGGGGTATTAAAATCCACCGTCCAAACATTGAACAAACTTATGTTGTGCAGTTTAAAAAAGCTACATTTACTTAAATGGTCTCCTTATAGGGATATACCTGCATGCTATTTTACAACTTGTTTAATTCATTGAGAACATTTGTTATGTTGCTCTTCTTGCAAGCCCCTTCTACAGAGAGGTTATCTCAAGTTAATGAAATTAATGAAAATCATGAATAAGTCATGGAATTTAACATCAGGGCCTAGGTGGAAAAGTAGAATTAGGATACAAGTATAATGAGACAGTCTTGCAGAGATGAGGAGGAAGGATTATCAGTGTAGCTCCGATCTGCTCATCTCATGTTTTCCTTTAAAAAAAAATCTAATAATGAAAAATGACAAGTTTGAGAAGGACATTGTATCCTACCTGTTCATAAGCGTAAATTAATATTTCATGATTCGTACATGAAGATGAGCCTCCAATTTACATGTTGATGAAATGAAAAGTGATTGACCTCTAGCCCTAGAGTCAAAGCTACAGTGATTATGGAGATGATCATCTGAGTGGCACCACAAGTGGGGTGTCTGATGCTCTTTACTACATTACGACCATCAATCATCTTCACAGGCTTAATAAGAACCCCTGGGATTTATGACTCCTCAAGAGTGTCTCTGTCATCAGAATCATTTTAGCTTTGTATCAGTCAGACAGAAAAGAAAGAAAGAAGAAGAAGAATGTTAGTGAGGACCACATAGAATAAAGACACATGCCACTAAAAAAAGATGAATGCCTCAGGGAACTCACACAGCGTCAGAAAATAAAACCCTCTCTCTTTTCCTCCATACCCAAATCTCTAAAAACGGGGCTACAACGGAGCTGATCCAGATTTGCGTCCGATATGACGTAATATCAGAAATGTAGGCTGGCTTTACACCCACGGCCCTATCAGAAACGTTGCTATCAGAAACAATGCGCGACTGTTTTGGGCGTAATATGGTCTGTGTTTACATTAGCATTGCTAACACTCAGAGCTAACCTGTACTGGAGAGCATGTGTGTGAAGAAGCAGGAAATTAAAAGGAACTTACCTTGTGATATAACCGGCAAGAGAGAAAGCATTTGAGCTCCATACTGTTTCAGAAATAATCCTTGATAATCCATGATAGGTGTTTCATCACAGCAGAATCTGCTGGTAGAATCTCCTGCATGAGCTCAGCCCCCTCCTTTTTTTTGTGTCAATTTTTTTTTTTAAAGTACTATTCCCCAAATCAGCACTTTTTAAACAGGAAGTGAAATAGAGGGATATGAGGCATGGCTAGAATGGGTGATCTGTTTGGTATTTTGAGCAAAACACTTCATAGACATGTTTTTTATATTTTTTTATATATCTGAGACCTATGCTATTGCCTAAAAATAGCATGATAGGTCCACTTTAAGCATTATATTAATTGATTATAACAGCCTTTTGCAGGGAATCTCTGCCATCAGATAGCTGCATGCATTTATTTATGCTGACAGTAACTGTTAATTGCTGACTTTAAGTAAGAGTTTATGAATTAAGATCATGATAAAAAGAAAGTCTGGGATCCCCTTTGACTATTTAAACAGAACTGCATTAAGGTCTGTGTTTTTGTAATAAATTCAACAGACAAAGTTTGGTGCTAGTGGCTGTATTTTATCAGGCAGACCCAGCCCCATTTGGGTATTTAGCATCTGAGATCCAGCTGACAGACTGCTAGTGTGTGTGACCATGCAACTAGAAGCACAGTACTTTGTGCAGCCATTTGCTCTTTCAAATGGCCACATTGAACTTTATTGTATTACTTGTAAGTCAATGTGCACCCTGCTGTCTGATATATTTCCTGCTTAACAGTAAATGATGGTATTTGTCTGTTAAGGCCAGACAAGTGACCAACTGCCTGTTTTATTGAGGTGCGCTGGATCTGGTCCTGAGATGTTACGATGGGTAAAGAATGTCATGTGGACATACAATGGATAAGGCTCCACGTGGTTAATTGTCCATGTCTTCTCGCTTTCTACTGCAAATATGATGTCATCCCTCAACACACTACAATCATTTTTCCACATCAACACTTCCAAATCAACCTCTTGCAGCTCTGTGAGCGAGTAACCTTTATGTTCCATGATGTACTGTAAGTGTTCACTGTCTCTTAGCACAGGATTGTTTTTGAGATAATAATTACATGTATTTGCTCTTATGCTATGCCGCCCCTTAAGACAGGTTCCACTTAGGGGAGTCACGACAGACCAGAAATGAACACAACTGATATATTTATCTGTGGAAATTTGATATGATGCTAATAATACACACATGAAAATATTGTGTTATCCCTTTGCAAGGACTCTTCAATATCTATTTTGCTTTTTTTCCTCCAACCTCCTTCCATACCCAAGAAACAAATGAGTGACATTCATTTAAAAAAAAAAAAGACACTCAAAAAAAGATGTTAAAGCCCACAATACACAAAATGTAAAAGATTAACTTGACTAAGCAATATTATTTTAAAATGCATCTTCTTGTTAGTGCAAAATTGACCCAATATGAAAGCCATGCACTAGATAAATATAATTTATTGTGATTATTAACCTTCTTTGCTAAGCTGGCTCTCCTAAACGTGTTGTAATAGCTAGCGCCACAGTACTGCAAGTGCGAGCGAATTTGTGATAAATCACTGAGGTTTACTGAGGCAAATAAACGAGTGGAAAATGGGGGCAACAGGGAAAAAAGTAAATTTGGTGTAGAAAAGGCCATTATCTATGCATTAAAATGTCAGCACAGCACTATTTCCAGCAATCTCAGATGCTATTCCAAATAACTTGTGTAGTCACTCTTAATAGGTCAATCCTAAATTGGTGTCAATGCTGGTTTCTAAGGACTATTACTATTAATAATCTGCATTACCTTATATACACACATATTTGTCATGCAATGTCTGTAAATGCACATAGGCCAGTAATTGTTTTTGTACCAATGCATTCTATGCAACTATAAAGACATAACCACAAGCATTAGACCCATTGACCTACACAATCATGAGCTGTGTATAAGGAAAACATTTATAACATACATAGCTGCTGCAAATATACCCTGATAAGTCAATTACCTTTAGTTCAGTGCATAATAATTGTATTCAAAACATAGGTCTTGCACTGCTGTAGACTTTAGAAATATGACTGCAAATAATACTCAGCACTTTTATTCAAAATAGAGCTCAGCAATACTGCAGGAGATGCCATGCATCTGCACAAGCAATTAAAATATGTTGTTCTGTAAGCACTTGCAGCCAAACAGGATTAAGATGCATATTCATGTTCCCTTTGACAACACATGGGAGGCTGGATAGCAAGCAGCAAGATTCAGAGTCTGAGAATGCTGGTTCATGTGTCTGCAGGGATGAGACTGTGATCCCAACTTTGAATCTGGCCTCTGCATACTGATTACTTCAAAGCATTGATAATTCATCAAGGAAGGAGAGAGCTGTGAGGAGAGAGAGGGAGAAAAGTTTAACTAGACTCACTCTCATACTCCCTCTCTCACTCTTCCACACACACACACACGCACGCACGCACGCACGCACGCACGCACGCACACACACACACAGGCACATTAAATATGCTCAGCTTGGTTTGGCCGGCGGCCATTTCTCTTATATATCCATAAAAGAGTACATTATTTCCCTGCAGCTTGGCGCTCATGACTGATGTGCATGTTTGGTCTGTATTGTCACCCCTCCAAAAAGAAATACAAATGAGTACACAATCTTGCCATGTTGCTTAAAAAGTGACAAGAATTGTTTTCAGGTACAGTAAGACATTTCCATCATTATTTTGTTCAATTGCCAAACTATTGGGAGCTGGGTATTGAAACATGTTTTCTGGGAGAAGATATTTCTCTTAATTCAGGGATTTATTGATAACTGTATTCTCAGTAATGGCCTATTCAGCCATTCCTGCATGGGCTGGATTCTAATCTCGCTTTTTGACCAGGTATCCATTATGTCAGGAATTGGCTGTGGGAAGCCCCTGTTGGATCCTGCATTGTCAGAAGAGAGCAGGAGAGAACTTATCTCTGTCTCCAGACCTCCACGCAGCAGCAGCAGCACATGTCAGGTCTGGAGAAGTAGCCTGCCTTGTTATTGGCTTGATCCCACATTGCTCTGGCTGCGTGACTGAATGCTGTGACTCTCGTCCTTGCCTCTGCTCTCTCACACACTGAGCATTTCTGAACCTCCCACAGCTAACAAGTGACTTTTACAGAGCTGTGTGGTTACAGAGGATTGATGTAAAAACAGTAAAAATAAATTGATAGAAAGATACTTTGGCAGGAAGCAATATGGCAGGCTTCTCTCGCATCAAACCCACTCAGTCTAAATTATTCCAGTCAATTTGATTAGATGTCTATAAGCAATAAATTGAAGGAGCAGTAGCGATAATCAAACAGGCTTCATCTGCTGAGGCCGTGGCGAGAGTCCCATTAAAAAGGCTATATCATACCAGAGGCTCGGGAGCAACGGCGGCAGCAGATGGCTCTCGTTGTGTTAACCTCAAGGCCCTGTCAGAGAATTAATATTTCACTTGCTAATTATTTTGATCTTAAATTGAGTACCATGACCTTCCTCATTCCCCTTTAGCTGCCAAGATTGATATTCACATTTCTACTGAAAGACTTTAAAAGAAAGGTTGGATGTTCGAAATAAAAAGAAGTACAGACGGAGAAATCCGTCCTGAAACAAAGACTTCAATGCATCTGCCCACGTGCAATGAAAAAATGGACAAAGGAACATTTGCGACAGGCATAATGTCAGTGGAATTTGAATAATTCAGTCCATGAACACTTTTCGAATAATGTATAAAGACAATCGAGTGTACAGTCAGGTACTAAAATAAATCGAACATAATGAAAAGACCCTTGAAAACAGCAAAGCTCACAGCAGCAGTGCAAACCTCTATAGGCTCTCCTCATTGTGATCTCATCTTGTATGAGTGCAGCAGGCCACACAGCGTATTATATCTGAATTAAATGCTTTATAGTCAAAGCAGTGCTGCATTCAATTGAGTAGCTTGCTGCAGTATTCCTAATGGTTAATGAAGAAAAAAATAGATGAATGTTTGAACTGTAAAAGATGGTGCAGAGGAATAGGGGATCAACATTGGAAGGTGCTACAGTGAAGAACACTGCTGGATGAATATTTGCAGAAAATGTGAAGGATGTGTGTTGGAATTGTTGGACCTGAGCTTATCACATCAGCAATATTCCAAATGTCTGCCTCTGTAGCCAAGTTCTGCGGAGACCCTGGTCTGCCTGCCAAAGGACGGAGAGAAGGGCGCAGTTTCATCTTCAAGTCTGAGGTGGCGTTCAGCTGCAGCTCCCCATATGTGCTGGTGGGATCAACAGCACGCATGTGCCAGGAGGAGGGCGCCTGGAGCGGATCGCAGCCTCGATGTATCGGTACGGAAATATGTTTATTTCTCTCAATTCATAGAATATTCATGTTTCAGACTGGAGTGTAATTATTTGGTTTATATATTATATGATTGACAGTGGTGGAAAGTTACTAAGTACTAAGATGTACTGTACTTAAGTACACATTTGATGTACTTGTACTTGTGTATTGTATACTAGTTTATACTTGTACTCATTTGGGGGGCCAATGTTGTACTTTTTATCCCACTACATTTATTTTACAGATGTATTTACTAGCTACTTTATATAAATTCAGATTTCCAAACACAAACCATTGGAAAAACGTTTAATTTATTATTATTTGGTATAGATTGAACCATCCAACATTATATTTAAGTAAGTTAAACCATGAATGGGAACCATTACATGAATTGCCAGCAATTATGCAACATATTGCACAGTTCCAGCTTCTTAAATGTGAAGCTGCTTTAAAATATTTAAAACATATTTCAATATGGTAATAGTTTTTTCTGCAATGAGTACTTTTACTCCTAATATTTTGAGTAAATTTCCCTAATTCTACTTAAATCATTTTACTTAAGTGCCATTCTTGTTGCAGTACTTTAACTTGAAATTGAATTTTCTTTTACATTTGTATTTCTCAAGTTAAGAATCAGAATACTTGTTTCCACGGCTGATGAATGATCACTGAATCATTTCTCCCTGGATATGAGTTTTCTAAATGCAAGATATGAGCATATTCATTTGTATCATTAAATAACAAAGGTAGTTAAATTAAATATACAAGATGCCTGCCAAGTACTATCCCACTATTCAAAATCATGCTCTGTTGATTCTCTTAAAGCGACTAGCATTAATATCAAAACACATTTGAAGGTGAACTAGAATCACTGGGCTGCCATCTGGCACTGATGTAAAAACTAAATCACGAGAATGGATTGCATTATTTATAATGTTACCTCAGGGGCGATGCTTTATATTCGCAGCCCTGTGTCGCTGAAGAAAATGTTTACTAAATGGGTTTTCATTTGAATTTTGTCTCACTAATGATCAAAAGTCCATGTTTCTAAAACTTGTAAAATCCCATGAATTTCATAGTCAAGTAAACTAAAGATGGCTGGGTAATTCTGTTCATGTTACCACGTCACTTCAGTAATTGTCCTTTGGTACATGGCGCACCAGAGAGAAATTGCCATTATCAATGATTGCCGCTCTGTCATATTCTTCTTTTTCTCCCCCTGCAATTCCCCGACTCATCATAACAATGTGTTTCTTGTTTCAGAGCCCACGAGATCCACATGTGAAAATCCAGGCACACCTGAGCATGGCTTCATGAATTACACAACAGGCTTTAAGGTAATGTGGGCTAAACCTGAAATGGATATATGCCGTTATATAATTTAACTCTGAACATGGCATACTAGAACATGTATTATTATCAATTGGGTATTTTTGAATAGATGTTCCATGTTGAATCATTATTTATTCTTTGTTATGATATTGGAAGAATGCAAGGAGGAAACATATTGTGTCTGTATCGCTCCAAGGCGGTTGCAGTGAATAAAAAAAAAAAATGGTTCTACCACTGTGAATATGTGAAGACACAAGTGCATATTTATACTAATGTGCATGTCAGGCAGTTTGTTAGTGTGTGTAAAACATGCAATGCTAAAATGCATCATAGTAAAAAACCTATAACGTGAACATTGATGTGTGCTCAGTAGCTCCCTGGAGATGCTTTCTGCCAGTGTTTTTCATCTGATCCCCTCTCTGTGGCTCTTAGAGTGTCAATTACAAGTGCAAACTATTTCTATACTACCTTCAGAAGAATATCTGAAATGAAATTTGTCCCGAATGAAAGCAGAAGAAGCTTATTATTTAGATCACTGCTGGTAATGGCTGTGCACTTGCATTTTTTCTCCATTACGGAACGACTTTACCAATATCTCAACACGAATGACAAAGTGCTGCGTCGATGCTGCCGACAGGGAAGGTGGCTGAAAATATAAGTCATTTATTAAGATGGCCAACATTCTGCTTATCTCTATATATTTTAAAGCTGAAAGTCAGCTCCTTCGCTACTAATGTCTGTGCATCAGTTGAAAACACAAACATGGGCCATCGCCTCTAGGAATAGTCTCCATCTGCCTCCACACTCCAGATAATCATTAAAAAGGGGAAAAAACGTTAGTGCGCAGTATTTTTCCAAAGCTCTTTATATTTGATGCTGGGAGCCTATTGGCATATGCATCAGGGCATTGACTCTCTCCACTTTGTGTGCTGTCTGTTTTTGGCCAGGTGGGCAGCAGAATAGACTTCCAGTGCCAACAGGGACACCTACTGCAGGGCTCCACCACCCGCCTCTGTCTGCCAGATCTCACCTGGACCGGCGTCCAGCCTAGCTGCATCCGTGAGTGCCTGTTTTTTCTCTCTCTCTCTCTCTCTCTCTCTCTCTCTCTCTCTCTCTCTCTCTCTCTCTCCCTGTCTTTGTTTTTCACCTCCCCTCCTGGAATATTGTCACTGTTTATCTGCATTGCTGGAAACTTAGACAATAGCTTTTATTTTCTTCAACATCCCCCCTCTCCCGTGGTCGATTCGCTTTATCCAGTCATAACCTTTGACCTCCCGGGAGATTGCAGCTCCAGCTTCAATCAAGCTGCCATCCTAGTCATTCTGAGAGTGAGGTGTTGACCGTGATTTACTGTCATTGTGTTCCAGCTACCTGAACTGTCGAGCAACACCAACTAGGGCGCTGCAGTTTAGCCCAGTCGCTTTGCCAAGCGAAGTGCTTTTCAAAGTTGTGATGTACGCCAATATCTCAGTAAAATCCCTTTCAGCTACAGCATTTTCCATGCAAATACTCCCATTTCCATTGCGATTTACTATGCAATTCCAGTGTTAACACTTGAGTTAAGCAATGAAAAGCGGATTGAAATTATATTTCATAATCTTGATTTAATAACTTCCTCAAGATGTAATACCCACAAGAATTTCCTGGAGACATTTGTGCTGACAGAGCAGAAACATTGTAATGGAGGAGAAACATTGCAATACCTGTGTGTGTGTGTGTGTGTGTGTGTGTGTGTGTGTGTGTGTGTGTGTGTGTGTGTGTGTGTGTGTGTGTGTGTGTGTGTGTGTGTGTGTGTGTGTGTGTGTGTGTGTGTGTGTGTGTGTGATCCTACTTAAATTAAGGTAATCATATTCAGTTAGATGTTTAAGAGAGATTTATATTTATGGCCATTTTGGAGATTCTAGATTGTGGTGGTTATTCCAAGAAGTGTTTCTACCATATCCAGTTTCCCACCATTGGAACAAATAGGAAGAATGCATGTGCAGGAACAGGCCATAAATGCAATACATATTTATGTAATGCTTATTGTATGAGCTTTAATACAGGAGGTGTACCAAATCTAAAAACTGAAATAATTTCCAATCTTTGTCAAAAAATATTTAGAGTTTTACAATCCATTTTACAGTAAACCCCAGCATAAAAAATATTACAAGTAAAAACTAGTGTTGAAGGAGTATATTTTCTAATTGATATGTTCTAATTGGTTCCTTTCCAAAAGCTGACAGCAAAAACAAAGAATCCATAAAGCACTCCACACAAGACGTGTCACCGACAGCTCCTCCGCTCCACCTGTATCTTTAAACTGCTGACCCCGTCACTCACTAAGGAGGTTGTGCATCCCTTTGCTCCTTAATGGCATTTATTGCCTGCACTATGACATGTCCATTAAAATAAAAGAGCCGTCAATGTGATTTTAGGTCAACATAACTACAGGTTAATGCCCCAGCAACTCCCCAAACTGGCACTCACACATTTAGTTTTAATCAGAACATTTCTCTCTGGAAAGGTTTTGACTGTCAGGAATATCTTCATGCTTTGGAAGGTGTAGACAGCATGTTACTATGATTAACACACTTTTTATTGGAACTTTTAGGTAAAAATGAAAATAGTTAACAAAATGGAATGTATACCTCAAAACCATAAGATAAACTTCTGAGCATTGAAATTAGGGGGCCCTTGTGTGCTTTGGGGGGGTTTTCTCTTTCCTTAAAGAGCAACTTGCAGGTTAGAGCCCCCAGTGAATATATGTGTAGGAAAATGATGTATACACTAGATTTTCCCAAAATATACATAAATATACACTACAGTGACATCTGTCGTCGTTTTTGTAAGACATTTTTACTTCCGCATAAAAAAAGACCACCCGCGTGTGATGTCACATGAGGGAGAGCGGCCGGTCTAACGTTTTAATAAACAGCAACAATGCTAGTTTTGACACAGAAGAGGTTGAAAATGTATATTTGTATGCATATGACGGACCACAACCTTATAATTATGAGCCTGCTAGGCGGCCAAGAGACCAGCAGCAGCCAAGGATTAGAAGATATAACGGCCATCGGAGAGAAATTGAGCTGTGGTGTGAGGAGAATCAGTGGATTTCTCCTCACACCACAGCTGTCTAGTGAGTGACCGGCGTTAGCTACAGTTAAGGTTAGCTAACGTCACATCACAACATTGTAAAGTTAGCTATCATATATATATGATACTGATCCATAACAGAAACTAATGCGCAAGTATCAGCCGCATCTCGCGTTCCCTAATGCAGCTCCACACTAGGTCTTACGGTGCTGTGTACCGGAGGGGAGAGAGAGAGAGGAGCGAAGGGGGGAGAGAGAGAGAGGAGCGAAGGGGGGGAGAGATGTAATACGGTTTCCTGATAAACGTTTTGTTTGATAGGCCTCAGCTGTGGACAGTATGTGCTGCAGGGAGGTGGATGCACCTCGCACCTCGCACCCATGAACGAACGCTAGCTCCGGTCCTTTTCCTGTTAGGGAAACTGTGGACTCGATGTCCTGACAGGCTGGAGTTTGTGCAACCTGCACAAACACAAGCTCACCATGATTAAAAATTGTGAAATGCAATGTAAAATTACCGAAAAAATACCAGCTCACTAAATCACAACCGCTCAAACCAACTACTACTGCGGATTGGGCAGACAAGGGGTGTTTCTCAATGTCGAGGAAGGCTGCTCCAGAGCCACTATTTCAAGCATACTACGTCATCGAGTGCCGCCGAAGGACTGTTCCAATGTCCAGCATACTTGAAATTCTATCGAGGCCGGCGTACTTCATAGCGAGAAATTTCGAGGCTCCACATGTGTAGCCTCCGGTCTTAAAATCCCCACAAAGCTTTGCGCACGGACCTATTTCCAAATCTTTGGCGGAAATCGCTCTCCATTTAATGCGGGGCCACGCATATGACGCACACCACCACACCTGTTACACAGCGTCTTCCGTTTTCCGAGGCTAGGGAATGGATCTTGCCTCGCTTCGAAGCAAGTGACCTCGTGAAGCAAGTTGCCGGGGGTGGGGGGGGGAGAGCACGGTCGTGAACTGTCAACGGGGGGCGGGGCGCACGCTTGTGAACTGTTAGCGCCGTGTTATGCATGCCCACTGCACCTCGCGGGAGTGCGCACAGCGTAAAGCCAAAACTCACAGACATTTCAATGATTTGTAGGGCAAAGTTGGGTTTGGAAACGGTATCATTTCCTTTTTGGCAGGCATGCTTAACACCGGAGCCTCGCTGTGGGGAAACTTTGGCGCTGTTCCGAGTTTGTTCTAATCCGTCAAAATGACGGACTGCTTTCAGATTTTTCCGTCATTGTTAAAAAATATCCGTCATAGACGGAAAATATTCAGTTAACGCGACCTCTGCTCGGAAGACATGTGCTACCAAGCAAGTGTCCTCGATATCGAGAAACACCCAAGGAGTCCGAGAAAGTTGCTCCCCCATGTGACGTAATATAGTATGACGTAAAAAAAAATGGCTCCTTTACCCTCTGAATTCCTGCCCTTATGTCTCGTACAACATATGAAATCCTGCATTAACTTTTTTAATTGTAATTTTCAGGCAAGGTTAAGCATAAATCTAGTAAAAAAGAAAACCTGCAAGTTGCTCTTTAAGTGAGTTCTATAGGTTTTTGTGCAAGTACATTCTCGCCAAGGGCTTGAATCCCAAATGAACACCAGAGGGAGTTTCTCTCCCACACACTCACTGCGTGACTCCTTTATTTACTTCTGTAACTCAATGACATCACTATGTAACGCTTGTGCTTCTATTGGCTAGCAACAGATTTAATGTAATAAGCTAAGGGGAGGGACATATTTGACAGTTGACCACTAAGAACAGAGCTGGCCAGCTAACCAATCAGAGTAGACTGGGCTCTGGTTTCAGACAGAGGGTGAAAAGAGGTGCTGCAGCACAGGCAGAAAAATAAAGCACATTGTGAACATTAAAGCAAAACATATAACAGTAGAAACAAAACAAAAAAATATGAACCTGATATGTACAGTAAGGATAATAAGGGCCCTTTTACATTTTCTTATTCACTTTTTTTGTCAACAACCAGTTTGCGTGATTATCCTCAGAGGAAACCTAATGCATAATAATAATGTCATTAATATGTAAATACATGATTCTACCGATCCTGATGGAAAGGTGTTATTAGTCACTTCAGAAGCACCTTAGCATTTTACCATCGACATTACACAGACTCAAGCTGAGGTCAGGAGTCAATTGCTTGATTATGTAGCCCTGATTGACAATGGTTGATATTCAACGAGCCACATGCTTAAATATGATAATTAGAATTGTAGTGTTAGGGTTAATGGATTCCACATTGTACATAGACTGATAACAAAGGAATGAAGAATGATGAACATTACATGAAGCTACTTGATTAGTTTGTAGACCTTAAGTGTTGTTTGTAACTTTGTCAACCAACTTTTACATGTATGGCTAATGAAACATTTTAGACTGTAGCTAAAACTTTGAAATGCCAGTGCATCATTTCATTGTATTTCATAGTGGCTGGAAATATATTTATCCACCTCTAAGTGATACATTGCATCCCAGTGAATGGCCTCTGGATAGCTCCTGTCTACAACCTTTTTGGATTTGTATACAAAACATCCCACGAGCCACGTTCAATGTCACATTGAAAAAAATACAAAATAACAATTTGTTTAGCCTTTTTGTGTAACTATGATGTTGTAAAGCCACCCACTGAAATGGCAGTCTGACAAGTTGTTCACATTTCATTCAGAAGCTCCATGTTTTGAGGCTTTTAACTCACTCAGTTCAGAAGGTGCAGTTTCTTCTGTTGCTCTGCGTGTCTGTGCTGAAGCTGCAGCGTTTCAGGTGCTGCACTCCGGCTCTGGTACATTGCTTGTGATGGATTGAAAAATGTATCGATTTTCCCCTGACCTTGTATCTCTCCAGATTCTATCAGTCCATACTTTGTTGAAAAAAATCTCAAATGTACTATGTTTTCTTTCTGAGGAAGCTCTAACCTTCAAATACACATAAACATTGGTGATGTTAAGTTAAATAGAAATACTAACGGTGAGAACAGGTAAGTTGCAAACTGGCGAAAGTTTTTTCATCAAACATAATTTTCCTTAAAGTGAAAAGTTATGAGCTAAGGTTTTGCCCTGTGACTTTGCAACTTATAAGTTAATTTAATAGTAAATGGTAGAAACGACATTTATAACGTACTGTAAATTCTAGGATCACAATGTTATCATAAAAGACTGTTAGAGTTTATTTTCCGGTGTATAAATATATCATTATTTGATATAAAATAACACGTCAAATAAATCATGTGACATTGTGTTAGTATGAATTTAGGCATTGAGCAGAATAATTAATAAAGGTGCAATGTTACATAGCATACCTTGTATTTCTAATTGATATACCTACAGTGGGGAAAAAAAGTATTTAGTCAGCCACCAATTGTGCAAGTTCTCCCACTTAAAAAGATGAGAGGCCTGTAATTTTCATCCTAGGTATACCTCAACTATGAGAGACAAAATGACAAACAAATCCAGAAAATCACATTGTCTGATTTTTAAAGAATTTAATTGCAAATTATGGTGGAAAATAAGTATTTGGTCACCTACAAACAAACAAGATTTCTTCTTTAAGAGCCTCCTCTGTCCTCCACTTGTTAACTGTATTAATGGCACCTGTTTGAACTCGTTATCAGTATAAAAGACACCTGTCCACCACCTCAAACAGTCCACACTCCAAACTCCATATGGCAAACCAAAGAGCTGTCAAAGGGACACCAGAAACAAAATTGTAGACCTGCACCAGGCTGGGAAGACTGAATCTGCAATACGTAAGCAGCTCGTGTGAGAATCAACTGTGGAGAATTAATTGAGAAAATGTAAAAGACATGACAAGACACTGAATAATCTCCCTCGATCCGGAGGGCTCCTACGCAAATCTCACCCCGTGGGGTCCAAAATGATCACAAGAACGGTGAGCAAAAATCCCAGAACCATCACGGGGGAGCCTAGTCAATGACCTGCAGAGAGCTGGGACCAAATTAACAAAAAAAAAAGGGGAGGGGGCTACCATCAGAACACACTACGCCGCCCAGGTCACTCAAATCCGCAGTGCCAGACCGTGTCCCCTGCTTAAGCCGAGGTAAACACTGTCCAGGCCCGTCTAAGTTTGCCTAGAGAGCATTAGATGATCCAGAAGAGGATTGGAAGAATGTCCATATGGTCGAGAAACCAAAATATAACTTTTTGGGTAAAACTCAACTAAACGTGTTTTGAGGGAAAGAATGCTGAGCCTGCATCCAAAGAACACCATACCTTACTGTGAAACATGGGGGTGGAAACATCTGCTTTGGGCTGTTTTTTCGCAAAGGACCAGACGACGTCCGTGGTTAAAGGCAAAAATGAATGGGGCCCATGTATCGTGAGATTTGAGTGAGCAACCTTCCTTCCATCAGCAAAGGGCATTGAAGATGAAACGGGCTGGGTCTTTCAGCATGGAGCAATGATCCCAAACACACCGCCCGGGCCACGAAGTGCTTTCGTAAGACAGCATTTCAAAGGTCCCATGGAAGTGGCCTAGCACAGTCCTCAGATCTCAACCCCATAGAAAATCTTTGGAGGAGTTAAAGTCTGTGTTGCCCAGTGACAGCCCCAAAACATCACGTGGCGCTAGAGGAGATCTGAAATGGGAATGGCCCAAACATACCAACAACAGTGTGGCCTGAAAACCTATAGTTTACTTACGTACCCCAGTTCTCAAGAACAATGAAAGTGGAGATGTCTCACTATGGATCGCCTCAACGCGTATGCAAACAGAAAGGCATCATCTCGTTACGCCAATCCTGATTTGGCTGGGATCTTGACGTCTACGTCAGGGAATCCACCCCCCTATAAGTGAGCTTTGCGCAACGACGCAGCGGTCATTCCAAAAAAGCACGCTTCTTCGCCCTTAGCAAGAACGGGCCGTCTGGTGAGACATCTCACCTTCATGTTACCTGAGAACTGGGGGTTAGTAAGTAAGCCTTATTCTCATTCATAACACTCCGTTCCGATGTTCTCACTATTGAGATATTGAAATCCCCGTATTGCTAGACATCGCTGTATCTCGAAAATCACCCAAAAACAACCAGAACTAAACTAGGTAGAAACCCTGTATCAACACGGGGCCCAGCACTGCGCGGGCCACACTTGCAGCAGAGACATCTATTCTGTAAAAGCGGACAAAAAGTGGGTCGGTGAGGACGCAGCTCCGCTGCTGCACAAATGCTTGGATGGAAGACACCTTTGAACAAAGCCCAGGATGTAGCCAGTCCACGAGTAGATGGACACGCAGCCCGTGGTGCCTGCAACCCTGACTCGTAAAGCCAGAGCAATCGCTTCCCAATCCAGTGGGAGACGCCGTCCTGTAAGGGCTGCCCCTTCTAAAGAGTTGGTCATTGCACGAAACCTTTGACCTGTCCCATATAGGTGCGGAAAGCATGAACTGGACACAGCAAATCGCCGCTGTTCCTCAGAGGAACACAGCGGCGGAGGAAAATGCCCACAATGTCAATGGGGGTACATGAGCAAACCACCGTTAGGTATAAGGCGGGTTGGGCTTCAGCAACACTCTCGTGTGAGTTGCATGAAGGATGTTACAGGAGCGCATGAATTTCCACGACGCGCTTGGCAGATGCCAGAGCCAGTAACAGCACGTCTTCAGTGCAGGTGTTTCATTCAGCTTCTTCCAGGGGTTCAAGAATGGAGTCGAGTGGACCCATCTAAAAACCACTGCCAATCCCATAAGGGCACAAGTGACCTGAAACAGGGAGGACCTGCGAGCGCCTTTCATGAAACGGCGACCAAGATGTTGCTAGCCGTCTTCCCTCAAAGCCCACATGGCAAGCGCAATAGCAGCCAGGTACACTTTGATCGTAGAGAAAGCTCTGTGTTTATCAATTAGTCCGTAGAAATGATAAAATCACCCCGACCAGGAACATTGAAAAGAGATGGTGTCCTTTTTGAAAGGCACCATTCCTCAAACACTCCACTGTACAGTCATGAAAGACCGGTGAGGAAGCTCGTTGCACTCCGCTGAATATTTTATCACACTTCGTGAGGAGGGGCACGCGGCGCGCGGGGCGGTCCAGTGGGGTCAGCGCGTTTTTCTGGAGGCCGGCACACACTGGGCGGCGGGGCCACACTGGGCCAGGCCCATAGTCAAGCGCTCTGGGTGGTGGTGAAAATCGTCCCCGCCTGAGACAGTACTGTCCTGCGTAGTGGGAGCTGCCAGCGGCTGCCCGCACAGCAGCTGATATATCTTCCGCCAGCCAGTATATTGCGGCCAGTGCGACGCCTATCAGGATCAGTGTTGGCGGTTCCTCCTCTCGCGCCGCGGCGGAGGTGTCGCCGCGTCTGGACGAGCGCCAGGCGCGGGCGGTGGCCACGCGCCTCCCCCCGCGCGAGGACGGAGGCCAAACGTGCACGGAGCGCGTCCACCCCTAATGGTGGCGTTAATCGCGCCAATGTGAAAAGAACAGCTGACATTGAGCATTTTCTTTTGATGCGAGACAGATCTACCGGCTGGATCGGACGAACGCCCCACAGCTGACTCACAACCATTGGATTGTAGAGCCCAGTCTCATATAGTGTGCACCTCTGGACCAGTCAGTATCGCCCCGGGGTCACTCTCCTGGTACGTGGCAGCGCTCTCAGACAAGGAGAACGCCCAGCTCCATAAGACCAGTTTGCGTGCCAGCATGTGTAATGGAGGAACCAAACCCCTGGCGGTGTATATACGTACTGGTGGTCGTGGTTGCGTCACTCCGAGACTGATGTCATCTGAGAAAAGGCAAGAGCGTTTTAGGGTGAGGAACAGCGCTAAAAGCTCCAGATAATTTATGTGTGACCGTGTGAGGTCTCTGCTGCCAGAGACCCCTACAGGTCGACCGTTTGATAAGCCGCCCCCAGCCCGTCAAGACATGCGTCTGTGGTGACCACCGTCGCGCGGATAGGCACAGCACCCTAGGCCACGCCCCGTACTAAAAAGTCGGGTGTTTGCCAGTGGCGCAGTGCCATTCACGCATTCAATAGGACCTATCACCTCCGCGGGCCATGACCGCTGGTCCAGCGAGCAGCTACCGCAGCGCGCTGACAACTCCTCTGGTGTAGAGGTCCCGTCCCGTCCCACCAGGATCGCTCTGATGCCATGAGCCCCAGGTAAGCGCAGACATGATCTGAAGAGAACATATTTGCGTAGCCGAAATGAGCCCCGGGCAAGCTCTGAAGGCTTTCCTCTTTCTGTGACAGGGCGGGCTGTAAGGGCACCCGAATTCAGGTGTAGCCAAGAAGAGTACATTCTGGGCTGGGGACACATGCTCTGTTTCTGGTTTATTCGAACCCAGATGGTGTTTTGCGAGTCAGTTCGTCGCGTAATAGCTCTTTGTCTCCGACTGTGCGAGAAGCAGCCTGCTCTCCAGGATAAGTTGCCAAGCGAATACCCCTATTGTCTTAACGGGGCTAGTCGCGCTGT